TGACAACTGTAATATTTCAGATGCCCCACCACTTCCTATACGGGTGACACCAGGACAAATAGAGGGGTGAATCGCTCCAGGAGGGACACAGACATCAATACAGTGCCTTGAAAAAGTATTCATACCCCTTGAAATTCTCCACAATTTATCATCTTACAACCAAAAATGTAAATGTACTTTATTGGGATTTGATGTGATAGACCTCATAATTGTGAAGTGGAAGGAAAATGATAAATGGTTTTCAGATTATTTTAGAAATATTTATCTGAAAGGTGAGGCGTACATTTGTATTCAGCCCCCCCCCCCCCCCCCCCCCCGGAGTCAATACTTTGTAGGACCCCCATTTGCTGCAATTCCAGCTGCAAGTCTTTTTGGGGATGTCTCTCCCAGCTTTGCACATCTAGAGAGGGACATTTCTGTCCATTCTTCTTTGTAGAATAACTCAAGCTCTGTCAGATTGGATGGAGAGCATCTGTGAACAGCAATTTTTAAGTCTTGCCACAGATCCTCCATTGGATTTAGGTCTGGACTGTGACTGGGCCATTCTAACACATGAATATGCTTTGATCTAAACCATTCCAGTGTAGCTCTGGCTGGATGTTTCGGGTCGTTGTCCTGCTGGAAGGTGAACCTCAGACCCCGGTCTTAAGTTTTTTGCAGACTCTAACCAGTCTTCTTCAAAGATTGCCCTGTATTTGGCTCTATCCATCTTTCCATCAACTCTGACCAGCTTCCCTGTCCCTGCTGATGAAAAGCATCCCCACAACATGATGCTGCCACCACCATGTTTCACGGTGGGGATGGTGTGTTCAGGGTGATCAGTGGTGTTAGATTTTCGCCACACATAGCGTTTTGCTTTTAGGCCAAAAAGTTCAATTTTGGTCTCATCTGACCAGAGCTCCTTCTTCCACGTTTGCTGTGTCCGCCACATGGCTTCTCGCAAACTGCAAACAGGACTTCTTATGGCTTTCTTTCAACAATGGCTTTCTTCTTGCCACTCTTCCATAAAGGTCAGATTTGTGGAGTGCAGGACTAATAGTTGTCCTGTGGACAGATTCTCCGACCTGAGCTCCTCCAGAGTTTCCATGGGCCTCTTGGCTGCTTCTCTGATGAATGCTCTCTTTTCCCGACCTGTCAGTTGAGGTGGATGGCCATGTCTTGGTAGGTTTGCAGTTGATTGGATTGGAGGGATCACTGTGATTGGAGGAATCTCTGTAAGATTGGAGGGATCTCTGTGATTCAGGAGCAGACTGACCATTTGAAAGCTCGGGCACTGCCCAAGGGCCCTGGCTCAGTAGGGGGCCCCATGAGATGCCCCTGGTACCTTTTTCATAAGCTTTTGTGAGCCTATTCAGAAGTGTTGAACAGTGCTCCGTGAGATGTTCAAAGCTTGGGATATTTTTTTATAACCTAACCCTGCTTTAAACTTCTCCACAACTTTATCCCTGACCTGTCTGGTGTGTTCCTTGGCCTTCATGATGTTATTTGTTCATTAATGTTCTTCAACAAACCTCTGAGGGCTTCACAGAACAGCTGTATTTACACTGAGATTAAATTACACACAGGTGGACTCTATTTACTAATTAGGTGACTTCTGAAGGTAATTGGTTCCACTAGATTTTAGTTAGGGGTATCAGAGTACAGAGATGGGGCTGAATACAAATGCACGTCAAACTTTTCAGATATTTATTTGTAAAACATTTTGAAAACCATTTATCATTTTCTTTCCACTTCACAATGATGTGCCACTTTGTGTTGGTCTATCCCATAAAATCCCAATAAAATACATTTACGTTTTTGGTTGTAACATGACAAAATGTGGAAAATTTCAAGAGGTGTGAATACTTTTTCAAGGCACTGTACAAACCTGACAGAGGGTCCACCCTTCCACGCTCCACCCAAAACTGAAAGACGTTTTGGATTTGGATATGTGTAACAATTGCCATCCACATTGTACGAAGCAGAGTAATCACTTAGTACTAAAGAGCACCTGCAACCTATATCCAGTCTATCAGATTACTAGCTAAAGTCCCTCGCGCCTCGTTTTCCAGAGAACTGATTGGCTGCTCCACAGTACTAAACGTCTCTTCCTGGAGTCTTATAACTGTCTCATACAGAGTCACCTCTATACAACATCATTCATCAGAGACACCAGACCTGCAGATAATAGTCCAACAATCAGTGAGGAGGAAACATTGCAATACTTCTGTCTATGGCACAGTGTGACACAATACATAAAGAGATCCGTCCAATCACAGAAATCCCTCCAACCATACCGAGATCCCTCCAATCACAGAGATCCCTCCAACTGTACAGAGATCCCTCCAATCACAGAGATCCTTCCAACTGTACAGAGATCCCTCCAATCACAGAGATCCTACCAATCACGTTGAGATCCCTCCAATCACAGAGATCCTTCCAATCACGTTGAGATCACTCCGCTCATACAGAGACCCCTCCAATCATGCAGATATTCCCAATCACAGAGATCCCCCCCATCATAAAGAGATCCCTACAATCATACAGAGATCCCTCCTATCACAAAGATCCCTCCAATCATACAGATATCCCTCTAATTATTATTATTATTATTATACAGTATTTATAAAGCGCCGATAGTTCGCTCAGCGCTGTACATTGCAAAGGGGGACAGAACATGTGACAGAATAATACCAGAGAGATAACAGAGATCCCTCCAATCACAGAAATCCCTCTAACCATACAGAGATCCCTCCAATCACAGAGATCCCTCCAACCGTACAGAGATCCCTCCAATCACAGAGATCCTTCCAATCACGTTGAGATCACTCCAATCATACAGAGACCCCTCCAATCATACAGAAATTCCCAATGACAGAGATTCCCCCATCATAAAGAGATCCCTCCAATCATACAGAGATCCCTTCAATCACAGAGATCCCTCCAATCATACAGATATCCCTCCAATCACAGAGATCCCTCCAATCATACAGATATCCCTCCAATCACAGAGATCCCTCCAATCATACAGATATCCCTCCAATCACAGAGATCCCTCCAATCATACAGATATCCCTCTAATCACAGAGAGATCCTCCAATCACAGAAATCCCTCTAATCATACAAATATCCCTCTAATCACAGAGATCCCTCCAATCACAGAAATCCCTCTAACCATACAGAGATCCCTCCAATCACAGAGATCCCTCCAACCATACAGAGATCCCTCCAATCACAGAGATCCTTCCAATCACGTTGAGATCACTCCAATCATACAGAGACCCTTGCAATCATACAGAAATTCCCAATGACAGAGATCCCTCCAATCATACAGATATCCCTCCAATCACAGAGATCCCTCCAATCATACAGATATCCCTTTAATCACAGAGATCCCTCTAATCATACAGATATCCCTCTAATCACAGAGATCCCTCCAATCACAGTGATCCCTCCAATCATACAGAGATCCCTCCAATCACACAGAAATTCCTCCAATCATAGATTCCCAATCACAGAGACCCCCCCCCCCCCCCAATCATACAGAGATCACTCCAATCACAAATATCCCTCCAATCACACACAGAAATTCCTCCAATCATAGATTCCCAAACACAGAAATCCCTCCAATCATTATTCTTATACAGGATTTCTATAGCACCAACAGTTTGCTCAGCGCTGTACAAAATGAAGGGAGACAATACAGCAACAATATAATTTGGTACAATGTAGACAGAGAGCCCGGCTCGTTAGAGCTTACAATCTAAGATAATGAGATCCCTCCAATCACACCGAGATCTATCCAATAAGAGAGATCCGTCCAATCACAGAGCTCCCTGCAATAATACAGAGAACTTTCTAATCACAGAGATCCCTCCATTCACACAGAGATCCCTACAATCATACTGATATCCTACAATCACACAGAGAGATATCCAATCACAGAGATTCCTGCAATCACACAGGGAGATATCCAATCACAGAGATCCCTGCAATCATACAGGGTTCTCTCCAATCACAGAGACCCCATTGAAACACAGAGATCCCTCCATTCACAAAGAGATTCCTCCAATCATACAGAGGTCCTCCAATCAGAATAATACTTGATACAATTAGACAGGAATCCAGACAGGAATGACACTGTATCACTATACTCCTCCTGTGTCTCCATGCTGGACAGTTCTCTGCAGTGTGCAGGTACAAAAAAAAAAAGGTGATTTTCCACTGCTAATTACCCAGCAATGACAGTATGAATGTGAAAGGTGATTTCTACACTGCCTCCATCTGCTCCACAACACTGAGTTCTGTGAGAGGTAGGGGTCCAGAGGCTGGAGAGTGCAGAGAGGCTGACATAGGCCATTGAGATGTCACAGATAGATCTTTGTTCCAGTGTCAATGGTAGTATATAAATACTTCATGTGTGGGCCGTCAGAGACCTCCAAGTGTTGGTGAACCTCAGCCTCCAGCTCCCAAGGCCAGCTGAGACTTGTGGTTCTCCAGCAGGAGGAAGTCCCGGGGTGACATGGTAGGCAGTACAAAGTCATTTTCTTTACTGCTTGTGATTGGCTGAGTAGTCACCCAAATTTCGTATGAGTTCTCTGCTTGTAGTAATACACCTGAGAGAGGATGGCCATGTCCAGACCGATCTGCAGGGCCCCACACAGCCAGAACTGGGCGGGGGTCTCCTTTATGATGAAGTAGATGGTCTTGAAGCAATCACCAGCCATCCAGAGCAGAACCATTTTCACACTGAGGAGAGATCAGAGAAGAAGTTACAGACAGGATCTACCCCGGGGGGTAATACAGGGGCCCCTAAACCCAGGGACCCCACCATTCCTACTAACTATTTATTCCATACAGAAAGATGGGTTTCTGCTGTCTTCATATACCTTTGCTGCACTTATCTGAGCTATACCGGCATTGGCGATCAACCTGCTTTATATAGGGGGCCTCAACTGTGGCCCCTGACTGCAGACATACTACAGGAGATGGTCAGAGACTGCAGACTCACTACAGGAGATGGTCAGAGACTGCAGACATACTACAGGAGACGGTCAGAGACTGCAGACATACTACAGGGGATGGTCAGAGACTGCAGACATATTACAGGGGATAGTCAGAGACTGCAGACATATTACAGGGGATAGTGAGAGACTGCGGACATATTACAGGGGATGATCAGAGACTGCGGACATATTAGAGGAGATGGTCAGAGACTGCAGACATATTACAGGAAATGGTCAGAGACTGCAGACACAGTACAGGAGATGGTCAGAGACTGCAGACATACTACAGGAGATGGTCAGAGACTGCAGACACACTACAGGAGATGGTCAGAGACTGCAGACATACTACAGGAGACGGTCAGAGACTGCAGACACACTACAGAAGATGGTCAGAGACTGCAGACACACTACAGGAGATGGTCAGAGACTGCAGACACACTACAGGAGATGTTCAGAGACTGCAGACATATTACAGGGGATAGTCAGAGACTGCGGACATATTACAGGGGATAGTCAGAGACTGCGGACATATTACAGGGGATAGTCAGAGACTGCGGACATATTACAGGGGATGGTCAGAGACTGCGGACATATTAGAGGAGATGGTCAGAGACTGCGGACATATTAGAGGAGATGGTCAGAGACTGCAGACATATTACAGGAGATGGTCAGAGACTGCAGACATACTACAGGCGATGGTCAGAGACTGCAGACATACTACAGGAGATGGTCAGAGACTGCAGACATATTACAGGAGATGGTCAGGGACTGCAGACATTATACAGGAGATGATCAGAGACTGCAGACATACTAAAGGAGATGGTGAAATTGATGGTGAAAATAATCAGGACCTCCATGTGGACCTCACAGTGTCATTCTCAGAGACAGGAAATCTATAGACAATGTGTGTGGTTGGATGGGGCCCTGTGTCTTCCCCCTAGTGGCCCCATGTCTGGGGGGCTCATTATGACACTCTGTTCTATCGGTCTGTGCGCTCCATTTCCCTCTCGGAGAGTCCATTTGTCTCTATCGTCTGTCACCTTCACCAGTCTCCCACCTCAGTGACCATGCATTCTCACCGCCTCTGCTACTGACAGGATCATCCATCACCCAGCTAGAGAAGGGCCGTCCACACAGTGGCCCCAGGGCCAGAGGCGATCATGCTGCTATCTGACTGTGTGGTGTTTGAAGGACATGAAGGGTTCAGGACCCGGCAGGGTGGGCTCAGGGGTCACAGCAAGGGCTCCCGTGCTCCAAGAAGATCTGAAAACGAGCTTCCATAGCAAGGAAATCCTCATTAAACAATTTCTACGTGAAGAGGTCTCCTGAAATAATGCCACTCTAGATAATTATGAGTCGATCTGTGAGCAGACATATACTGTAATGTAAAGGGCAAAGCTGGAAATCCTGCTGGGGCCCCTGAGAGACACAAGTGCCATGTACATTTCCATTGTCTCCCTTCCCCCTACGAAGCACTGCTGCCACCTATAGGATTGATTTAAAAATATGGGGGTGGGGCCTAGTCATAAAAAATGTATGGTGGGAACCTCCGGGGTGGGCTTTAATAGAAGTGAGGGCGTGGTTACATCAAGGGTTGAGGGGTGTAAGAGGCACATCTAGCTTCAGCATTTACCCAGAAACCAGAGGAATAATGTAAAATATGGCCAATGCAATCACAGAATAAAAGGTACCAGGACTGGTTTAATTTTTGTTCTATTTATTATGTTCCCCAGCAGATATTTCTGTTTTAGTTGGGTAAATATTCAGCCAATGCGCACACGGCTGTCTGACAACGCTGCCGCTAATTGTAACACAGTGGCTTACTGTGGTCAGGCTGTAACAGGAAGTAATGTTACTGGCAGGATCTCCAGGGAAGAAACGTTGCAAGAGATGCATTCAGAATGATTTAATGTTCTGCTAACAATTTACATGAACTGTTTTATTTATTTTTCCCTCCTGCGTGCGACACCGTGTGACATTGAACAAAGCTCTCCCATAAAGTAAAACACATTCCTTCACTTTGAGCTTTTACCGTTTCACTACATTAATAAACGTCGCACTCATATGATATCATTGTAAAGGATAAGCTCACCTGTTGTAACGCACTCCCCGATCCCCCCATGACAGTGGGCGGGGGATCTACTCCCTTCACCCGCTGTTACAATTTAAAAACAGCGCAGCTGTGCGAAGCTCCGCCCACACAGCTGCATCATTCATTCAGAGTTCTGTGAATGAATGAACTACAAGTCCTATCTGCCACCGCAGCAAATGGTTTGTACATATCAATGGACTAAGAGGGCGCTGGTGAGCTCTCTCGTAGTTCATTGAGACTTCCTGCACTGTATCCCGTAGAGAGACCCAGCGTTCTTGCTACGTGATTTTGACATTTTGATTTTCACGCCATTCACTTGAATAGGCTTCCCTATGCACGTTTGCCACCCAACTAGAATCTCCTGCTCCTTTTTTCAGATGACAATGTTCAGGCGATTTGTGAAGGCATAGTTTGCTGCAGAGATCCTGTCGTGCGACAATCACAGCAGTATCGCATCCAGGGGCGGACTGACAACTCATGGGGCCCCCGGGCAATAGGGGATCATGGGGCCCCTGTGTCCTTGCCCAAACTCAAAAAAGCCTATGGAAAAGGTACCAGGGGCATCTCATGGGGCCCCCTACTGACCCTGGGCCCTCGGACAGTGCCTGAGTTTCCAAATGGTCAGTCCTCCCCTGATCGCATCTCATTTGGAGTGCCTTTGAAGAATTATGGCACCCAAATGAGTGCAGCACATTGTGCTACAATTGTCACATGATTTGGGATTACAGGCGATCCCAGATCATGAACTGTGAACAGGGCCTAACTCTCTGGTAAGGGCAGACATCTGTATTGATAGCCTGCAGAAGCCTGACATTGCACCGATGATATGGTGATCCGCTGATCGTGGGTACAATGCACATTTTTTACCTGCAAAATGATATGCATTTATTTTATTTATTTTTTTTTTAAAGGTAAAGTTAGCCTTTAATCAGCGGACTTTGTTGAATATATTTTCAGTAAAAATATGAAGGACGCAAATTAGTCAAATGTTGCGTTGGGAGGAATTAAAATGCTTCTTTTTCTAATTTTTTCCTATTTACTCCCAACCAAAGACGAGGAAATAAAAATAAATGTATCCAAATCTGCTGCCAAATGAAATCTCTATCTGTCCTGAAAAAAAAAACAATGTATAACAATGAATTTGCAAGTTCTCCCTGTGCCTGCGTGGGTTTCCTCCGGGTACTCCGGTTTCCTCCCACACTCCAAAGACATGCTGGTAGGTTAATTAGATCCTGTCTAAATTGTCCCTAGTATGTGAATGTAAGTTAGGGACCTTAGATTGTACACTCCTTGAGGGTTAGGGACTGATGTGAATGTATAATATATATGTAAAGTGCTGTGTAAATTGACGGTGCTATATAAGTACCGGAAATAAATAAACACGTTGGGGTGGGCAACAAACGCTAAAAGGTACAACTGAGACAAGCACTGAAAAAAATGCTGCGGGATTGGGAGGTGGGGGGGGGGATTTACAGAAAAAAAATGTACTGGGATTAAACAAAAAAAAAAAACAGGAAAATCAGATTGACAGAAAGCCTTCCCAATCTTCTGAACATAGAGGCGGCTGTCTCTTTAAATGAGGATTTTCCCCCGAATCCCCTCATCACCTCTCATCGCCCTCCATCATGTATAAAACATAACCGCCGTGCTGGCTGCTTCCCGCGTTCCTCCTTGTGGACGGGCGGAGTTAAATCAAAGTGATTGTAATGGGCTGGTGTTTATTCAGCGGGTTTCCCCTCCAGAAATCATTAATGACTTCTCAGCAGACGGAAAATAATGATTTCTGCTCCCAGCTCAGTAATGACATTGTGCAGTTTTCGGTGCTGATGGATCTCAAAGTATCCCTGGCAGGACTCAGCTTGCAATGCTAAAAGGGAACTCCTGCTGGACAGTGGAGGTACGTTCTGCATAATGGGAAACCTTGTGCTCCTGCAGGCACACTGTGGAACTGGGAGGGTGACACCGCTATTCAACAGTGCAGCTTCCTGTGTCACCTCCCTACCTCCAGCCTGCTCACTAGACTCCAGCCTGCTCACTAGACTCCCTACCTGCAGCCTGCTCACTAGACTGTGAATACGCATCAGGACACAGCTGGAATACTGCTGCCATAAGCAGACAATGCCCCCAGTGCCTGAAACATGTTGCACCAAAAAAATCTGAAGGCTCACTGCTAATTTCTACTGTGGGAAGATGTTATCAAGACAGATTTCAGGCAGTTTTACCAGCGTTGTTTTATTGTATATCCTGAGGATTTTTTAAAATGATCATAAAAAGGCTTCCTGTTCTGTTCGGAGGTCTGCTTTAATTTGAGTGCACAGCTGCCCCGGCTGCACGCTCCGGAGTAATTCCATATTCTTAGTTCTGTTCTGCAGACCCCATTTATTGGCGGTTGACGGCGGAGATCCGCCCGGAGCGGGAGGTAACAAATGATGTCATTTGTGTTCTCTGCATCTGGAGAATGTTTTCCTAGGACACAATGGATGGGCTCCTGCGGCTAGCAATCGGCTCTGAGGGGGTTATACTAATTATTCCTGTCTGCAACTTTTCCTAATTGTGCCTGGGGGGCAACTCTGCCGCCTGTCTCTGGTGGGAGGACTCCACATCACCAGACAAAATACCCAAAATGCCAGGACAGGGGCTCTGCGGCTTTCCCCAGGGCAAATACAGACAGGAATGGAGTGAAGATGGAGTGTAACACTCTGCAGGACACCAGACTGTGACAGGGGAGCTGAAATCTTAGTTTTTTGGAGCTGCCAAAACTGAAGTGAATACCAAGGAAAGGGAGTATATTCTTCTTGCCCCCATACAGGGTATCTACTGCTCTTGCTCAGGGGATATTCTTCCTGCACCACCAGGGAGATATCCTTCTTACTCCACTAGGGGGAACCCTTTCTGCTCCCCTGGAAGGATATCCTTCTTACCCCACTAGGGGGAACCCTTTCTGCTCCACTGGAATGATATCCTTCTTACTCCACTAGGGGGAACCCTTTCTGCTTCTCCCCTGGAAGGATATCCTTCTTACCCCACTAGGGGGAACCCTTTCTGCTCCACTGGAAGGATATCCTTCTTACTCCACTATGGGGAACCCTTTCTGCTCCACTGGAAGGATATCCTTTTTACTCCACTAGGGGGAACCCTTTCTGCTCAACTGGAAGGACATCCTTCTTGCCCCACTATGGGGAACCCTTTCTGCTCCACTGGAAGGATATCCTTCTTACCCCACTATGGGGAAACCTTTCTGCTCCCCTAGAAGGATATCCTTCTACCCCACTACGGGGAACCCTTTCTGCTCCACTGGAAGGATATCCTTCTTACTCCACTAGGGGAAACCCTTTCTGCTCCCCTGGAAGGATATCCTTCTTGCCCCACTAGGGGGAACCCTTTCTGCTCCACTGGAA